TCCTTGATAAGATAAACACAATTGTATTAATTTGTTTTAATTCAAGATTAATAGCAACCTTTTTTTATATATACAGGGTGATTCCTGTAAGTCGGTCATGCTTTCGGGGAATGATAGGGGACGTCGAAATATTAATTTTGGTGTAGTACACTATGGGTCGGAAATGCCTCTTACGCAAGATACGGTGTTAAAGTTTTTGAAAAATTAAAGATATTCTTTAATAGTTTTTAACAGTTGAAGGTATCGTTATAAAATTTTATTATAGGAATCTACCTAACAGAGACACTTTAAATGTAAAAAGAAGAGGTTTTAGTATCAACCAGTGGCGTAGATGTGATACGCATCACGCATCGGGTAATTTTTTCAAAAAAGTACGTCACTGATAAAAAATAAAAATTTCAGAGTTTTTTTAATTTAGTTGGTTTATTTCCAAGAAAAAATGTCTCTTGCAACTTTCTTCTATCTAACTCCATTTTGTCACAATAATTTAAAAATAAATAATTTTTAATGAGAACCTTAAATATGCGAATTATTATAACTACCTTAAAACTAAGAATTTTATTATAAACAATAAAAAAAATTTGTAGTTTAAATTTATAATTTTTTAAATTTTTTTAAGGAGCTAATAGTAAAAAATACTATATTGTAACTCTAACCTTGGCCTATTTAAATAATTTTTCACATGTGATCCAGGGAGCTAACGATGCACATGTGTTTCTGCCCTTTAGTTATAATAATTCGCTGTATTTAAGGTTCGCATTAAAAAAAATATTTTTAAATTGTGACAAAACGGTGTTAGATAGGAGAAAGTTGCAAGAGACATTTTTTCTTGGAAATAAACCAAGTAAATAAAAAAACTCTAAAATTTTTTATTTTATATCAGTGGCGTACTATTTTCTTTGAAAACACTACCTGATGCTTATCACATCTACGCCACTGGTTTAAACTAAAACTTCTTTTTTATACATTTAAAGTGTCTCTGTTAGGTAGACTCCTACAATAACATTTTATAACGTTACCTTCAACTGTTGAGGAACTATTAAAGAATATCTTTAATTTTTCAAAAACTTTAACACCCTGTATCTTGCGTAAGAGGCATTTCCGACCCATAGTGTGCTATATAAAAATTAATATTTCAACGTCCCCTATCAGTCCCCGAAAGCATAACCGACTTACAGGAATCACCCTGTATACAGGGTGGCGCACCTCATTCGCCTCGGTTGATTATACGAAAACGGAAAGATGTAGAAACAAAATATTTTATGGATATATGTGGGGAGGCAATGTGCACAATTTAAAATTATTTTGAATTATACATGGTGTCTCAGAACTAACATTCATACCAAAGTTATATTTTTTCTTATGGAACACCCGGTATTTTATTTCATTTTTGGATTCTTGGACCCAAAAAAAGGCATTTATTATAGGGGTTAAATATGTTTAAAATCATTGGTGTTTGAGATATTCTGAAAATAAAAAATGATAAATCTGAAAGGCGCATATATATGACCCCACAAAACTGCAATTCTTTCCCCATTTAACCGATTCTCTGTCTCCAGTAGTTTCCAAGATACCCATAGAGAACATCGTAGGAAACTCACCCTGTATGTGGGAAGACAATGTGCACAATTTAAAATTATTTTGAAATATACAGGGTGTTTCAGAACTAAGATCCATACCAAAGTTATATTTTTTCTTATGGAACGTGGTATTTTATTTCATTTTTGGATTCTTGGACCCAAAAAAAGGCATTTATTATAGGGGTTAAATATGTTTAAAATCATTGGTGTTTGAGATATTTAAATATGCATGCTATAAGAGAATTGATTATCAACACCCTGTACATTACTTTTCAGAATTAATTCTTGTGCTGAGTTTAAAAGGTAAAGAATAAACTTTACTGAAAAATGTTATTTGTTTCCTTTAATTTATACATAGGTGCCAAAATTAGTGATCTATTTTACGGATTTATTTTACATAAAAACTTTGTTATTTCAAATGCAACACACTGTATTTTTTTAAATAAATTGAGGCAGATTCAAATGCTCTTTTAAACTATATTAGGGTTTCCTATACCTATCTATCTCAGATTTTAAATAATTATTTTGAAAATAGTTACTAACTGTCACTAGAAAATTGCCATGGCGATACCAGCCATCTTGATTGCCATTCTATTTAAAAATAGCTTTTTATTCAAAATCTGAGATAGATAGGTATAGGAAACCCTAATATAGTTTGAAAGAGCATTTGAATCTGCTTCGATTTATTTAAAAAAATACAAGGCGTTGCATTTGAAATAACAAAGTTTTTATGTAAAAAAATCCTTAAAATAAATCACCAATTTTGGTACCCCTGTATAAATTTAAGCAAGCAATAATATTTTTCAGTAAACTTTATTTCTTTACCTTTAAACTCAGCACAAGAATTAATTTGAAAAGTAATGTACAGGGTGTTAATAATCCATTCTTTTGTAGCATGCTTATTTAAATATCTTTAAATATCTCAAAAACCAAAGAATTTAAACATATTTAACCCCTATGAAATAAAATACGGGTGTTCCATAAGAAAAAATATAACTTTGGTTTGGTTTGGTTTGGTTTGATTCAAAAGTTGAATCAAAATCTGAGCTAGATAGGTATAGGAAACCCTAATATAGTTTGAAAGAGCATTTGAATCTGCTTCGATTTATTTAAAAAAATACAAGGCGTTGCATTTGAAATAACAAAGTTTTTATGTAAAAAAATCCTTAAAATAAATCACCAATTTTTGGTACCCCTGTATAAATTTAAGCAAGCAATAATATTTTTCAGTAAACTTTATTTCTTTACCTTTAAACTCAGCACAAGAATTAATTCTGAAAAGTAATGTACAGGGTGTTAATAATCCATTCTTTTGTAGCATGCTTATTTAAATATCTTTAAATATCTCAAAAACCAAAGAATTTAAACATATTTAACCCCTATGAAATAAAATACAGGTGTTCCATAAGAAAAAATATAACTTTGGTATGGATCTTAGTTCAGAGACACCCGGTATATTTCAAAATAATTTTAAATTGTGCACATTGCCTCCCCACATATATCCATAAAATATTTTGTTTCTATATCTTTCCGTTTTCGTATAATCAACCGAGGCGAATGAGGTGCGCCACCCTGTATAGATAGGGTAGGCTATTAAGATCGGCAAAAAAGTTTTTTTAATTTCACCCAAAATGAGTTATTTGGATCATGAATGACCTAAATACAAAATATTTTCATGGTGTCTGTCTGTCTGTCCGTCTGTAACACGATAACTCAAAAACCGCCGAGAATCTGGCCATTAGTTTTTGGTGGGGATGGGGTGTTGGTAAGGGGGTATGGGAGGGAGTTAAAAATTTAAAAAAATCGTAACTCCAAAATTACAGTAGCTAGCGAAACGCGGTTTTCAATTTAAGATTTGAAAGAAGACTTGATTTGAAGGAATAATATTTGCAACAAAATTTGTAACATCAAAATCAGTCAAAGTCGCAGTTTTTGAGATATAAACATGGATGCGGAAATAATAGTTAAAGCTACAGGATGTTAAAACTTTAAAAAAGAGGTTTTTTGTAATTCTAATCTTAAATACCATTATTTTTTTCTTGAATTTGCTGTAAGTCGCCCTTAACATCAGTGTTATAAATTTTTATAAAATTTAATAATAAAACAGATTAAATAAATAATTTATTAATTTAATTTTTATTTTAATTTAATTAATTGTGATTAATAATAAAATTGTGTTTATTTCATCAAGGAAATAGCAGTCAACAAAATATCAAGATACAACTTTTAATCGGCATTAAAAGCCTATAAAATTTTGCTAACAAGAGAAAGGCGGTGGCGCACTGGTTTTTTAGAAAAATATATTATTCAAATATAATGATAACCCATATTCACGTCCCTGGTGAATCTGGCGACCGCTTTTTAATACTAATAATAACTTTAACCCCCTAGCTACGAAACAAAGCAGAATCTTAGAGACTTATGTTAATATAAAAAAATAAATGTTATTTTTACATGAGGAATCCCTCCACGAGAGATGGCACATGTTTTTTGAAACGCCCTGTGTGTATTACACCACCCTAGATTAAATAGACACATATTATGTAATAAGCTAGGTTCATAGGCAAGAATAAAATTCTCCTTTCAAGTTTACTTTCAACAAGTTTTCGATATTGTATGAACTGAAAGACTCTGTTAACATATGTGGCTTAAACATATTTTCCATCCAAAACTTCTCTTATAAACAGCACATAGCCGTGTATGACATATTTCACAAGTCGATTTTTAGGGGTTTTATAGATTTTTACGTGTATTTTAACCACAAGTCAGAATGTAAAAATATTAACAATTAAAACAGCAATATTAGTCACAAAAATAGAATTTGCGGTGGCCTTAAACGATCGATATTAAATCTTTGTTATGAGACCAAATATATCGAGTTTACGATAACTTGATATTTTGAATATCAAAATACAGGGTGAGTCTAAAATAAGTGCAAATATTTTCAGGGGTGGTATATTGCGACCTAAGGAACACGTCTATGAGTTTTTTTTTGTAAAAAAAAAGATTGCATCTTCCATTTTATTTTAAATTTCCCTGTATATTTTTCGAAAACTTTTTAGAACTGCCTGTTCAGCGCAAATTTTCCCACGGTATTTTTTTTTAATCTCTGATATTACAAATCCGGTGGCTCTCAAAATTAAAAAAATTTTTTTTTTAAATTTTCAAACTTAAATAACTCGGTTATTTTGGACTTATTTGAAAAATGGTAAAGAGAAAATGTTTCTTTTATCGAGATCTACCAGCTCTGAAAATATTTGCACTTATTTAAGACTCACCCTGTATAATTAAAATGTTAAAGATTCTGGAAAATAAAATATTTTACTCTTGATTTATATTCCCTTATTTAAAAATAAAAAAACTCTAAAAATTAACACTTTTTCTGACTATTTATCAGCAAATATAATAAACTTTACTCACCTGTGGGACACCATAGTACCCCAACCATTTTGTTTAGCTAACAAATGGGCTTTAATAGATTCAGTGACTGTTCCAATTTGGTTGACCTTCAATAATAAACAATTGCAGGCTTTCTTCTCAACAGCCGTTTGGATACGTTTGGGGTTTGTAACAGTTAAATCGTCACCAACAATCTAAAACAACCATATAAACGTATAGTACCATCAAATACTAATTATTTATCAAAATTTAATACTCTAAAATTCAATTTTCTAAAAGGTTTTTAATCCTATAGTTATACACACCTGAATGTTGGTGGCAGCTGTAATGGCTGCCCATGCATTCCAGTCATCTTGATCGAAGGGATCTTCAATAGAAACAATGGGGAAGTCTTTAACGAATTCTTGGTAGAGTCCCAAGAGCTTGTCAGGACTTAACCATTTGCTTTTGTCAGATTGTGGGTTTTTGAAGTCCAAATCATATGATCCTAAAATAATTCACTATAATAAATATTCTTCATCATAATAATTATATGTTAAATAATGCTACAGGGTGTGCCCAAAAGTTTGCAACAAATTTTATATTTGGGATGTTGAAAAAAAGTGTATACAGCTTACATTTTTACTGACAACTTGTACTAATACCATAGTTTAAGGAAAAGAGTAGTTGCACTCTCGCAAATATTTTCTGCCAGTTTTTGCAAGATGTCGAATATCGGCAGCTTGCAAAGCGTTTCAGTTGAATTCCGTCCGTCGAGCTGCGAGGTTCGAGCGTTGCGTCCCAGCACAGAGACGGATTGACAAAAAATGAGTGCCTTACTGTGTGCTACTATTAATTGTAGCAATAATTCAAAAAATTGTTCTTTGAGTTTTTTTAGATTTCCATCGGATGTAAATCGGCAAGCTGATAGTAATTATCAATAAACATTTAATTATATTTGTTTATTTTAGAAGCTGAGATATTATGTAATTAATTAAATGTTATTATTTTTTTTAGCATGTGAGCAAATCTTAGAAATAGTTTTTAGATATACAGGTTGTCTCAAAATATGCGCATGAAAATATTCTTTGGTCAGGGATTGCCATAAAATTTTTCATTCCAATAATAACTTACGAGATAATTTATATAGATTGGTTTTTGAAATAATTTTAGAGTAAATATTTTGTACATCTAAAGTCTCCGCAAATTATTCATATTTTTTAAATGAAAGAATTTTATAATTGCATAATCTATTATAAATTGAGTGGACTGTATTTTTTTATGTTTTTTTTTATTTATTTTTTATTATAAGTGGTCGTAATATAACAATATTCAAAATATTATAGACAAAATATTGAGTTTATATTTGAGGGAAGGAAAGTGCCACACCTAGCTTTAAACCACCGAAAATATACAGGGTGGCCCATTATTGCGAGTAAGTCCAATATCGTCGTTCTTGTCGAAGATGTGAAAACAGTTTTATTCATATGTTTCACGGTGTATAACATTGTTTCAGGGTGTCACAAAAAAGTTATGGTAAAGTTATTTTACATCATTCTATATACATTATTCTATATAGGGTATTTTTTATGGCGATAGCGTCACTAAAATCGGAATATTTAAAATGGTATATCTCAATTTTTTTAAATGCAACATTCTGTATATTATTTTTCGGTCAGATGCAGAATTAAAAAGTGAACATTTTTTTATTTAAAATGTTTCTCTAAATTTTTAACGGTTTCGCAGATATTCGCAGTATTATATTACATATAGCTCTTTCAACAGTAAATTTTTATCAAAGCCACCTAATATGATCTTTGTCTGATATTTTATCGTTGAAAATCCCATACGTAATGAAATACAGAAAACATTTGCAAAACGTCTAAAAATTTAAGAACACTTTAAATACAAAAAATGTTCACTTTTTAATTCGACATCTGAAAGAAAAATAATATACTAGGTGTTGCATGTAAAAAAATGAGATACAACATTTTAAATATTACGATTTTGGTGACGCCATAAAAAATACCCTGATAAAGTAAATTTTTCTACACGAATTTATTCTGGTATCCTTCATATTTAAGAAAACATAGCTAAGTATTAATAAAGTTATATTCACTCTAGTTTTTTACTACTTTTCATATCAATAGAATGGCAACATCGCAGTGTGCTTTAAATAGAATCCAGTTATCTACAGAAAATTAAACTTGTTTTAAATAAAAAAAATTGTAGAAAATCTCTGAAATAGATAATAATATAAAAAATATGTCATTATACACATTTTCCGCATTTCTTCCCATCAGAAGATTTTCAGATACAGAAGAATTGTTACCTACACGAAATGTGAAAACATTCTGTTTTCAAGCAAGTTTTTACTCGATGATCAATTTATTTTATTGGGAGATCATATTTTTCTAAATACATATCTGTGAAACTACGGCGAGTGCAACGACTATACTTTGCCTAGTTAATAGACCACAACTATACAGCTACGTATGTGGTCACGGGAGGCGAGAACAAGGTCATATAAAGTGGCAGAAAAAGAACAAAGGATTTGACAAGGAGTAAATCTACTAGTTTCCTTATACTATGCTAATACTACTAATACTTGTTGTGACATTATAACACACCCTGTATAATAAATAATGAATACAGTATTTTATTTTTTACATTAATTTTTAATTACTAAATTAACTGTAAAAAATAAAATCTTTTGACTTGAAAATTTGTAATTAAGTATTTTACCGTCTCTGTAGAACTCTGAAGCTGCAACATCCATTCCAATGTCAATTTTTCCAGTGTAACCGGCTTTAGCAATAGCTTCGTTGATTAAATCTAAGGCATCCTTGTTGTTCAAGATGTTTGGAGCAAAGCCACCTACAAATGAAGTTTTATATATGTAACAATGTAAAAAAAAACACAATGAAGAGTACCTTCATCTCCAACAGCTGTTGCATCAAGACCAAATTTGTCATTGATAACCTTCTTTAAGTGATGATACACTTCGCTACCCATACGCATTGCTTCGGTAAAGTTAGAAGCTCCAGTGGGAAGAATCATGAATTCCTGTAAATAATTATAGTTAAGTTTCATTAAAATCTATTCAGTAGTTTATGCGTGAAGGAATAACAAAAAATGTATACGCTATACGCCCATACATCCAAACAAACTTTCGGGCTTATAATATAATCAGAATAGCAGATATACGAGTTGGCCTTAATATACAGGGTATACAGTAGGGTGGATCGTAAATCTCAAAATTTTTAAATTTTTAAAACATCGACTTGGAATACCTACGAAAAGTTGCCTGTGGTAATGTTGATAAAAAAGTGTTACTACAACTTTTTAATAAAATCACATCTTCTGCCCTCTACCAGCCCTTAAAAAATGAAATTTTTTTTATTTTGAAAAATCGATTTGGAATACCTATCAAAAGTTACATTTAGTATTGTTGATAAAAAAACTTTATTTAATTTGTTTTTATTAAATCACGTCTTTTGCCATCTACCGGCTGTTAAAAATTGAAAAAAAAGACATTTTTTCTTAATAGTCGATCTGGAATACCTACCAAAAGTTATATTTGGTTATAATAATAAAAAAGTAATATTACCACTTTTTGATAAAATCACAACTTCTGCCACAGTTTTAAGCAAAACTCCTCGGAAACTTTGAAGGTCATTTATTTTGAAGGAAGGAAAGATAAAATCTATGTTATTGAAAATATTGAAGGCAAGTCCCACAGAGGAACTGTACTTGAAGAACATATTTTTTTAGTACACGAGCCGGGTTCTATATTTTTGGGTCGCAGAGTTGCCAGTTCTGGATCGGCTCTAAGCATTTGTTAACTTCTTAGAAAGTACTGAATATGACCTAGAAGAACTAGTAGCAGTAGGATGTGATGGAACCGTGGTGAATACAGGAAAAAAATGGTGCAATTTCTCAATTAGAATTAAAATTAGGACGCCTTTTACAAAGATTGATCTGCCAGCTTCAAGCTAATGAGTTACCTCTTAGGCATCTTTTTGAAAAGCTTGACGATTAAACCCTAGGTCCAAGAGCTTTTGCGGGAACTATAGGAGATCAAATACAACAGTGCGAAAATATGCCAGTTGTGAACTATACCATTATTGACTGTGATTTACCAGACGTGGATTTTCTGGACTTAAGTGCCGTTCAGAAATACCTGTATGAAATTTGTGTTGCTGTTTCTACAGGTGAGTGCTCCGTAGATTTATTAAACCGAAGCTCAGGAAAGTTAAGTCATTCTCGATGGCTAACTTTGGCTAATCGCACCTTACGTCTTTATGTTAGTACCGAAAATCGAACATTACAATTAAAGGAACTGTCTAAATTTATTGTCAAGGTTTATGCTCCTTTATGGTTTCAAATTAAATGCAACTCTTCATGTATAAATGGTGCCAAACATGTTTTAAAAACAATAAAACGCAGCCGATACCTAGAGCAAGATTTAAAAAATGTTATGTTATAGACCCTGTAATACAAAGAAATGCCTATTTGGTCCATCCAGAAAATCTTCTGATATGTATGCTGCATGACACTCGCCCCCATATAAGAGAGCTTGCAGTTCTCCGCATTCTAAATGCAAAAACTCAAGACAATCGTTCACACAATATCCGACCTTTTATCATACCACAAATTAATTTTGACGCAGATGACTGTTGATCTAATTGATTAGCAAAAAAATGAAATAACTTGTCCCCCATTGCTTCAAACTTTGGAAGTAGATGATTTGAAAAATATGATTTTTAGTTCTTCTGAAACAATCATCGACATCGCTGCATTTCCCTGTCACACTCAATCAGTAGAGAGATGCGTAAAACTTAGCATCTTTATCAGTTGTAGGCATACAACGAAGCATCTTAATCAGTAAACGAAGCATCTTTATCAGTTGTTGGCATACAAAAAAGAGACAGTTTTATAAAGACAAAAATAGATTCGCGCAAGCTTATGACACAATTTGAGTCAAAAAAAGACTACAATCAATAAGTGAGAAAAAATAAATGGATGAGGGAGGGTGGGATGGAATTCGCCGAGCAGTTACCTCCCCGTGATGAGTTCTGCGTTGTTTAATAATACTGAATACACAAAATATTGTTAAACAAGCGAAAAACGGCTCTAAGTGCTCTGCTCGACACATTTATAACTCTTTGGTAAAGTGTGTAAATATTTGGATATTTATAAAAAAATTGTTTGACCTTGGTACATAGGGTACACTAAGGGGGTTAAAATGTCATATTTCAATAAGATATATTATTTCTAATTACAAAAGTTACTTATTACCTGAAATTTTGGTTAAAAATCAAAATTTTATATTTTTGTATTTTTTACTTTTTTTAAAGCCCGGTAGAGGGCAGAAGATGAAAAAAAAATTGAAAAACTATAAATAGATATTAGTTTTCTAATACCAATTGGCAACTTTTGCGCAGTATTCCAAAACGATTTTCAAAACTTCGATTTTTCGACCCATCCTAGTATACAGTTAATTATGCAAAAACGGAAAGATGTAGAAACAAAATATTTTATGGGTATATGTGGGAAGACAATGTGCATAATTTAAAATTACTTTGAAATGTACAGGGTGTATAAGAACTAATATCCATACTAAAGTTACATTTTTATGGAACACTTGGTATTTTATTTTATTTTTGAATTCTTGAATATAAAATAAGACATTTATCATAAGGGTCTAATATGTTTAAAGGCTTTGGTTTTTCAGATATCTAAAGATATTTAAATATGTATGCTATAATAAAAAAAGTTTGTCAACACCCTACTTTACACCCCATTACTTTTCAGAATTAATTCTTGTGCTGACTAAGCCAGAAAAATAAACTAAAAAAATTGATTGCTTTCTTAAATGTACACAGGGGTATCAAACATTGCTGGTCTATTTTAAATATTTATTTTACATAAAAACTTCGTAATTTCAAATGCAAAACTATGTATTTTTTTAAATAAGTCGAAGCAGATTTAAATGCTCTTTCAAACTATATTAGTGTTTCCTATACCTATCTGGCTTAGATTTTTAATAAAAAGCGATTTTTCAATAAAATGGTAATCAAGATGGCTGGTATCGCCATGGCAATTTTCTAGTGACACTTAGTAGCTATTTGCAAAATCGACATTAGTTTATGGACTTTATTTAAATTTATAACACTCTACTTTTATTTAATTTATGTACCTACAATAGTTTAATAAGTAAGTATCTATTATTTTATCAAGAAAAATGAAGAAGTATGTGCTGGTGGAAGGAATTGAATGTTACTAGTGATTTTATTTTGTGAGGAAAATTGCTTGTTGGCCTGAAGGGTTTATGCTCAAAGATATCCAAATAGGAATTTTCTTGACAACCTTTCCTTTGAAAAACTACTTTTCCTATTTCGCAGAGCTGATAGTGTGGTATATCAAAAACCTAATAGGCAGAAACCTATCATTGGAAGTGAAGAAAATGAATTTGCCTTGATTGGTTCTTTTATAGAAAATCCAATATATCTACAAGTCATCATAATATAAATCAAAGAACTACTTCTTCGTTTTTCTTGATAAAATAATAAATACTTACTTATTAAACTATTGTATGTAAATTAAAGTAAACTGACATAAATTTAAAGTCCATACAATAATGTAGATTTTAAAAATAGCTACTAACTGTCACTAGAAAATTGCTATGGCAACACCAGCCATCTTGATTGCCATTTTATTGATTGATTTTAAAAAATACATAACGTTGCATTTGAAATTACGAAGTTTTTATTTAAAATAAATATTTAAAATAAACCAGCAATTTTTGACTCCCTTATTTAAAGAAGCAATCAAATTTTTTTAGTAAAGTTTATTTCTCTGGCTTAATAGTCAGCACAAGAATTAATTTTGAAAAGTAATGTACAGGGTCTTGGCAAACATTTTTCATTATAGCATGCATATTTAAATATCTCAAAAACCAAAGTTTTTAAACACATTAAATCCTTATAATAAATGCCTTATTTTATACATGAATCCAAAAATAAAATAAAATATCAGGTATTCCATAAGAAAAAATGTAACTTTGGTAATTATGCACATTGCCTCTCCACATAATACCCATATAAAATTTTATTTCTACATCTTTCCGTTTTCGTATAACTGAGACGAATAAGGTGCGCCACCCTGTATTTTCATACTGAATAAGCAAACTGCTATACATTTTTACTCAGTAGATTGTTTAATAGTAACTTCAGTTCAAAATCAGTTAATAACCAATTAAATAAAAATAAAAATATACAAAACAGATTTCAATGTAAGGATTGTAAAATTAATTTACCTGCATGGCTAATTTGTTTCCAGCATGGGATCCTCCATTAATTACATTAAAAGCAGGAACAGGTAAAATGATATTGTCATTTCCAGCCAATGCAGCAAGATGTTTATACAGGGGAACTCCTTTTTTAGCAGCACCAGCCTTGGCAACAGCCAGTGAGACTCCTATGATTTAAAAACATATACAAATGTTTATTTAGATTATAAGACAACTAAACAGTGTATGTAAAAAAAATAGTACTTATTAAATATTTTTGGTAATTATTGGGAAAACTGGAAATAGTCCGATTTTCACCAAAATTGGTATACACGCTATTTTGAGGTCGTAGATTACGAATCTGAACTTTTTTCTTGGCGGTCTCTTACGGTTTTTTAGAAAAACGGAAAATTATTTCAACATTGAATTTTTCTTTATTTCGGCCCGTTAAAGTAATAATTTCACTATATTTTCATTATATTATAGTTTATCTAAATGCCACACTTGATTGGGGATAGCAAAATGTCCAAAATTTTACTGAAAAACACTTTTCTTAACAAAATAACAAAGGAAATTGAGACCAGATGGAAGTTTGATATTTGATATATCCTTCTTTCTCTCACCTATGTAATGAAAGAGACAAATATATTCTAGACCTAATCTAGAAATTTGAAAATTTACAACATTGCCATATCTTCTATTTTTTAGGATGATTAGGGATTTTAAATAAATTACCTATTATGAGATTGACAATAATTAAATATACCTACCTATATCCACAAAGTTACGCCGAAGAGTTTTGATTGCATTGGTTTGAACCTCTATGCGTAGGGGGTTAAGTTTTGCTTTAATGCCAGAAACACATAACCCAACATTTTCAGATTGTTTACAAATTTATTTTAGCAAATTTTCCTCTATTCTGCATAGAATTGGTTAAAAAAGTAACAGAAAATAGCAATAACATCATTCTTTATATATTAATATTATAATTAATAATTATTAATACCTAACAAAATATGTGCTAGAAAACCTTAAAAATATGAGAAATTAAGAAAAATTCGATGTTGAAATAATTTTCCGTTTTTCTGAAAAACGGTAAGAGACCGCTAAGAGAAAAGTTCAGATTCGTAATCCACGACCTCAAAATAGAATGTATACAAAATTTGGTGAAAATCTGACGATTTCCAGTTTTCCCAATAATTACCATATTTTTAAACAATAATAATTGTTGAAATTAGTAATAATGTATAACAATTTACCTAAAATAGCATTAGCACCAAACTTTGACTTGTTTTCTGTTCCATCAAGTTTAATCATAAATTCATCAATTTCAGATTGTTGTGTTACTTCCAAGCCGGCCTTCAATAGTTCTGGGGCAATGACTTTATTTATATTATCAATGGCTTTCTGGACACTTTTTCCATGATACCGCGATTTGTCTCCATCACGTAATTCAAGTGCCTCATGAACACCTTTAAATAATTTTCTTAGATACGAATTATATTTTATTTTGAAAATTAAACTTACCAGTACTTGCCCCAGATGGTACAGCAGCACGGAACAGACCCAAATCAGTTACAAGATCAACCTCTACAGTGGGGTTACCTCTGGAATCAAAAATGTTTCGGGCAAAGATACTCTTGATAGGCATAGTGGAAACTCTGAAACAATTCATGTAATTCAGTAAATTATTTTAAATGCATTGGTCCAAAGTATATTAATATAACAAGCGCCTTAGATATGATGAGAACAACGCTGAAAGATCAGTAAAGTAAATATTATTATTACATCCCATCTCTATAATAAATCGGTAAAGTTCTTATAGAAGGTCTTGAGAACCAAACAATTTTAAAGTTTATTAAAATACCTACAACTTGATTAGCTACCAATATTCAAAGTTATATTGATTTTAGTCTAGATAGTCTTGATTTTAGTCTAGATAACTTTCTAACTTTAAATAAATGAATTTGGTATATTCCTTTGAATAACTATTTGTGAGCAATAATATGAAAATGGCATAAAATGTAAAAAATAATAAGTAGGTAGCAGAGTGTGAATAGTAGCAACATAGATAAATAAAAACTGTAGCTACATTACAGACCTTTTCTTTATTTATGCAAATACGTTAAATTTTAATTACTTTATAATAATACAACAGTTTAATTTAATTCATGGAAGAATCAATACTATAAATACAATTTAATTTGAGCCGGAAAACTCTTTAAACAAGCAACACATGATTTACGCAAAGTTACGTAAATAGATTTACTTAAAAAACCGCTTAAATTTTAATAAAAAAATATAGATAAAGATCTAAAAGCGCAAATGCAAATTAAAAAGCAACAAACTTACCTTTTTAAAACAGATATAAAAGTAGAATATGGTTTAATTTTTATCCACTTTCAACTCCACAAATCGCCCGGTGTAAAATGAAAATGTCAAAATTGGCCGACTCTTTTAACCTTTTTGAAGGTGAAATAAAGGTCACGTATTATCTCTGATTAGGCTACGGGCTTCAACTGTTATGCAACCAACATTTCGCTATTTATGCAACCAATAATACGCTAAATCCTAAACGAAATGTTAAACCAGAGGTTAAACCTCAGTGTTAAACTTGAGTTAAATCTATGTTAAACCCTTTGAATATAAAGACAGAGACAAGTAAAGACGACTTCAGTCACCAGTTAAACCAATTTTTAATTTTTTTTTGATGATTTTCTATTTTCATTTCATATACAGGGTGGCGCACCTCATTCGCCTCGGTTGATTATACGAAAACGGAAAGATGTAGAAACAAAATATTTTATGAATATATGTGGGGAGGCAATGTGCACAATTTAAAATTATTTTGAAATATACATGGCGTCTCAGAACTAAGATCCATACCAAAGTTATATTTTTTCTTATGGAACACCCGGTATTTTATTTCATTTTTGGATTCTTAGGCCCCAAAAAAGGCATTTATTATAAGGGTTAAATATGTTTAAAATCATTGGTTTTTGAGATATTTAAAGATGTTTAAATATGCATGCTACAAGAAAATTGATTATCAACACCCTGTATATTACTTTTCAGAATTAATTCTTGTGCTGAGTTTAAAGATAAAGAAATAAACTTTACTGAAAAATGTTATTGTTGCCTTAAATTTATACAGGGGTACCAAAAATTAGTGATCTACTTTAAGGATTTATTTTACATAAAAACTTTGTTATTTCAAATGCAACACCCTGTATTTTTTCAAATAACTCGAAGCAGATTCAAATGCTTTTTCAAACTATATTAGGGTTTCCTATACCTATCTATCTCAGATTTTGAATAAAAAGCGATTTTTAAATAAAATGTCAATCAAGATGCCTGGTATCGCCATGGCAATTTTCTAGTGACAGCTAGTAACTATTTTCAAAATCGACATTAGTGTATGGACATTATTATTTAAACAGTTTACTAAAATTTACCCACAATAGTTTAATAAGTAAGTATTCTTTATTTTATGAAGAAAAATAAAGCCATATCTGTTGGTGGAACGAATGGATATGTTACTAATGATTTTATTTTGTAAGAAAAAGAGCCTCAAGAGCAAGAGCTAATGCTCAAAGATATCCAAATAGGAATCTTCCTGATAAAAAAAAATTTCCTTTGAAAAACTACTTGTCCTAATTCCTATTTCGTAGAATTGGTAGTGTAGTTTATAAAAAAAACCTATTAGGCAGAAACCTGTCGTTGGAAGTGAAGAAATTGAATTTGTCGTAATTGGCTCTTTTATAAAAAATTGATATATCTACAAGTTATCGTAAAATAAAACAAAGAACTACTTCTTCGTTTTTCTTGATAGAATAATAAATACACATTAATTTAATAAATATTATTTATTAAAGTATTGTAGGTCAATTAAATAAAAGTAAACTGGTATAGATTTAAATAAGGTCTATAAAGTAATGTCGATTTTGAAAATAGTTACTAACTGTCACTAGCAAATTGTCATCGCGACACCAGCTATCTTGATTGCCATTTTATAGAAAAATCGCTTTTTATTCAAAATCTGAGCTAGATAGGTATAGGAAACCCTAATACAGTTTGAAAGAGCATTTGAATCTGCTTCGATTTATTTAAAAAATACAGGTTGTTGCATTTGAAATAACAAAGTTTTTATGTAAAATAAATCCTTAAAATAGATCCCTAATTTTTGGTACCCCTGTATAAATTTAAGGATGCAATAACATATTTCAGTAAAGTTTATTTCTTTGCCTTTAAACTCAGCACAAGAATTAATTCTGAAAAGTAATGTACAGGGTGTTGATATTCAATTCTCTTGTAGCATGCATATTTAAATATCTCAAAAACCAATGATTTTAAACATATTTAACCCTTATAATAAATGTCTTTTTTTGGGCCCAAGAATCCAAAAATGAATTAAAATACCGGGTGTTCCATAAGAAAAAATATAACTTTGGTATGGATCTTAGTTCTGAGACACCCTGTATATTTCCACATATATCCATAAAATATTTTGTTTCTACATCTTTCCGTTTTCGTATAATCAACCGAGGCGAATAAGGTGCGCCACCCTGTATACATCCGCGATTTTTATAGAATATACTAGTGGCAAAGCTAGTGGGCGGCTGATCCTAAACATATCCTAAATCCTAAAAGACCAATGACTATAAAAGACAGAGGGGCACGTGCCCACGTAACATCTAAGATAAAAAGAAAGAAATAAGTATACAGGGTAGTCCGAACTGTATTCCGGAAACTTCGGCAGTATATTCTGCAGATAAAAATAAGTAAAAAACGTCGTATAAATGTATGTCCTAAAATGCTAAGTTCCGGAGATACAGGCTGTAGAAGTTTCATTTTTATTTAGATATTTTCCAAATAATTTCTGAATTAACGTCAATATTTGGATGAAAATTGGAGTTTTTTGACATGAGAAATGAGAAATTTGATTTAGATATCAATATGACTCAAACATGACTCCTATTTGTATGGGGCGCCACCTACATGTGTTTTAACAATCTAAGGTTTTAACTGTTTTGAAGAGTAATAACTTTTCGTCCGTACCTGTATAAAAGTACTGAGTGAAAAAATATACATTTCCGTGACTTTTTACGTAAAAAATGTCTCTTGGTAAAAGTCGCTATAGTAAACGCCACGAATGTTTGGGATTGATTCATCGCTTGATGAAGTTAGAATCGACACGCGCGCTATCATTTTTACTTAAACGTATTTGATTTTTACATAGGTTTTTAAAGGCCCGGTCTAATCATCTGCCTGCGCTCCTCCTACTTATTCTAAAATGTTAGCGTGACTAACAAAGACGATACTATATCGCGTTTCTTTGATTGATTCGTTTTTGTGCGTCAGTCCATTGGTGTGCTCGCAGTGCGACCAATGGGACATTTCATTTTATATTTATAACCAAATATATGTTTTGACAAGACCTTTGACAGTTAAAACAACAAATTACAATAGATTATATATTAATTATTATATGACTTGAAACACCACGGCACTGGAATTAAGTTTTATGTGACCTTGAACATAGTAGTTCACATGGTAGCGACCGATGAATCACTCCCAAACATTCGTGGCGTTTACTATACGAGTAACTTCTCAAAATATTTAGAATGGAAATAGTCAACATTTGTCATTATTGACAAAAATATACACGTTGAGGAGAATTAAATAATAAATTCCGGAAATTTTTATTTTTTGAAATTAATCATAAATTTTTGCGTGAAGAAATGATAATAAAACAGTTTCTGTCGAACTTTTGGCACAAAAACATTTCAAATTTATGATTTCAGTGTAATAACTATAGTCAACATAATATGTTTAATTTATATCAGTGATGACAGGTATTGATAATTTCGATTCCAAATATCTCGAGAACCTTTGAATAAGAAGTCGAGAACCATTACGTAGCGATTTTTCCAAAGAGACCTTTTTTACGTAAAAATGTCGTAAATGTATATTTTTTTACTCAGTAGTTTTATACAGGTACGGATTAAAAGTTATGTTAAAAATATGTGTGGTGGAGCCCTCTACAAGTAGGAGTCATACTGACATCAAAATCAAATTTCTCATGTCAAAAATGTCCCAGACACCAATTTTCATCCGAATATTTAGGTACGTTACTTCATAAATTATTTGGAAAAAAACAAAATAAAAATGAAACTTCTATATCCTGTCTCTCCGAAATTAAGCATTTTAGGACATACATTTATACGAACTTTTTTATTTATTTTTAGCTGCAGAATATGCTGCCGAAGTTTCCGGAATACAGTTCGGACCACCCTGTATAATTGAGTGCACACTTAAGGTGCACACATTATATTTTTACGTTACATTTCATACGATCGAATAATAATATCATTTCTAGTATGAACACTACCTAGAAGGATAGACTATATGTACTAAAAATAAATAAACTTTTTTCTTGTGCAGACCAGGGGTGGATGGGGAAGTGGAAACCGGCCCGGGAAAAACATACAACCGGTCCAACGAAGAAACATATTTTAATTATTAATATATAATTAAGGGTGTTTATCGCTCGTGCGAAAAAGCTCTTTTGCCTCTGGTTTAAAAAAAAATAAATTGTCTTGATCAAAATTTTCGTAAAGACCAATATTGGGTCGGACATCTGAATTTTTACTACAAAATGGCTCAATTTTACAAGTTTCTACTGCTTTATTTCCATTATCGATAACGGTAATTTGATCTTGAATAGGCTACGATTTTGCGTCACGATTTTGAGAAACTTTAAGACTTCCTGATTCATTCAGTTCAGCTGACCCAATCCTCTGTAAAATACATTACTTTTAGCTTTTCGGGTATATACTTTCTTACACATTCTAGAAAGAAATTCCCCCTTTTCTGCTACAGCAGCAGCCTCCTCGTGTACACGCGTGTTTTTAACTGAATGAACCGCGGTCGCCATTAAAACTGCAGCATTTTTTAGGTTATTATATAGTTCTTATCACGAAACTTTTCCTCTATACTTTTCTACATTTGGCATCTTGTATGATAGTGCCATCAAAGAAAGACTCAAACGAAAAAAACCTAGGCAATACCTAGACAGTGGATATAAATGTGTTCTGATGTAATAATATGTTACAGTTCATAATAAGAATATTTGGAATTTCGAGACATTAATATTTTATTATCTAATCTAGTTTAAACCTTATTTAACTGTTCTCTGCTGTCTCAATAATTTTTAGCAAATTCATTTTAGCAACATTTTAAACAACAATTTAGACTTGGCTTTTAGTTCTCAGACTTGGATTTTTTAGTCCATACCCAATTCCAAGCAAAGCATTGATATGTTTTCTCCGTCAACCGCAGAGTTCGCGTCAAATTCGTCAATCTTTTTACAAAGGGGAGCTCGAAAAACATTGCTACCGGATTCTTAGTATACATTTGGATCGAGACTATTTAAATTTACCTAATGCTATTCATTCTTTTCTGCCAGTCATATTTATT